GTGGTCAAAATTACAGAAATCCTCCATTTGAGGGAAAATTGCTTTGTCCATTTTATATACATAAGTAGTCAAATATTGAGTTTTTCATCTCATATCCCCAAATTGCAATTAAGGCAATAAAAGAAAATCAACCAAAATGCTTTCTGAGGTCTCAAAAGGTTAAGTTGACACCATAGAGATTGTGTGGTAACACTATAAAGTTTGACTTGACCCAATTTTTTCTTCCTGTGGTTGAAGAAAGTATAACAGAGTTCACCATTTATTCATCTTTTACAGTTATTGAACTCATACAATGCGCCATGTGCTTTACAATTAAATTCTCTCACAAATCCTGTAAGACTGATTTTATTATTCCTACTTCACAGGCTTTGATCCGTCTGGCTTCAGGACCCATATCCACTACCAGTACAGTATTCGCCATATCTTTTACATATTCCAAACTAAGTTTTTTGTATAGTTGTATGGTGGCCATATATTCTACTTTTTCACTAAAAGTAAAGTGACCATAATTTTTCTCTTATTTCTTACTGTCTAACAACTGAGGGTCAAAAGGCACAACAAAACCAGTGATGGATTCACAAGGGCTGCAACCTGCACCCCTTGGGCACTATGCTGTGTCAGGATCACCTGGTCTAGACCACTGAGGAAGGAATCCTTACAGGTTTTGGCTTTTGTCTTTCTTCCTAAATATGCAACAAGGAAGGGATGTAATTAATAAGGCTTGAAGAATCCATCTAAAATCTTTTTTAGAAGAATTAATTTTGTGTGACATTTACATAGATCGTCAATGCTGTGTTTCTTTATAGACTTTACCCTGTGTGCTGCTGCTGCACACAAATCTGGCCATCAGTCCATTGACCTCGAGGCTCTGATGTTCTCAACCTGATGATGTATACCCACCCAAGAAAGAGAAAGATCTCTGAGGATGATGTCAAAGGCATCTAGGCTCTCTATGGTTTGCTGAAGTTTGGCTTTCTTCATATTACATAAGTATTCATTTGCCTTCTAATCCCCTAAAACAGCTTTTCTCAATTTCTGTATTGTGAATCTCCAACACTGCCAGGAGCAACTGAAAAGAATGTTCCAGGCTCAATGCTTTAACCCTCTCTTAGATTTTTATGATGTCATGAAGCTCAGAAGTTCTCCAGGAAGTAAATTGATTAATGGTTGTTTAATACAATATTTCCTAAACTCAATGCTTTAACCCTTTCTTAGATTTTTATGATGTCATGAAGCTCAGAAGTTCTCCGGGAAGTAAACTGATTAATTTTTTTTTCCCTCCCTTCCTTCCTTCCTATTATTAATATTCGTGGAACACCTCTGCCACCCATGGAATAGGATTTCATAGCACCCCTTTTAGAAAATGCAGTCCTAATACATATAATAATGAGTGTTTTTTCCCAAGAATTTGTGGAAGTCCAGATCTGAGGGAATCAGGCTAATTAGGTTGACCACCATTAATTTTTCATCAACTTTTAATCTTATCTCAAGGGGCATATTTTTTAATAAGTGAATTATCTGTGTAGCTCTGGTTTAAGATTCTCCAGATCTTTAAATATACTGAAATTGCTTGTCGTTAAAACCACGAAGGGCCCATTTGTCTTGTTTTCATTTCTATTATTTACTGCCAAACAATCCAGATTTTTTCTTTTTTCAAAGACATTTGGGCAGGGATGTGTATTCTATTCCTGGTTATTTTCTCTTATAGTATTTGGTTGAATCTGGCAGAGGTGGGCATTCAGTAACCACTCTTTTGAACAAAACACAATAAGAATTAAAATTCATTAGGAAGTGAGCCCAGGAAATTAAATTCAGTCTTGACTTTCAGGAGACATATTCAAGTAATAACTAAAAAGAATTTCTTTCTTTCTTTCTTTCTTTTTTTTTTTTTTTTTTTGCAGATTCCATTTATTTCTTTTGTGGATCAACCCAGTGTGAATACAGCAACCCTGAAGAACATGTCATTTAAACGTTGAAAGTAAATGACCTTTTAAACTGCTGACCTTCTGCCTTACAGCTGCACAATCAAAAATGAATCCCTCTGCACTTTGCACTTGACCTGGGGATTGACTATGCATAAGGAGGTTAGATGGGGCACTCTTCTAACTTATTCTAGGGTATAAACATTGTGGATGAAAAGGAGGTTCTATGGGAAGTAATTTCATGGGGTGATCTGATCATAAATTCCTAAATGTCATTCTTTGTCAACACTCATAATTTACAACACTCTAAACTGAAGCTAAATTTTTTATCTTAAAGATTCTTTGATTTACAGAATTTTCATAATTTAACCCCAACTCAAATGACCTATTTTTCTTGTTATTCCTAATCTGGAACCCCCTGTGCTTTACTCAAGGGTTGTTCATTCACATTTTTGGTTCTCTCTTGGGGAATGTTTTGAACTTAGACACTGATGACGACATATGTTTTTAAAAGTCCCATATTACTTTTGTCTGAATCAGCAGCATTTCTAATTTAGGCCACAGTTTTGTTTGCTCATGCTACAGGTTTTCAAATTTCCCTGGTGAGTCCTTAGAGTTGTTAGAACCATTTGTAAAAGCCAACTCATTCTCATTGTGTTAAAGGTAACACCCTCATTGTGTTAATGAAACCACAAACACTTCACCAGTGATAACCAGAAGCCTGGCTTTTATCTTAACAATTAACAACCTGAGATAAGGACTTGTATGCACCAGCAGTTTGCCAGCACATTTCCATGTGATGACACATCTGATCACCATCTAAAATCACTCCTTAGTGGATAATAGCCTATGGGCAAACAGTCTGATTCAATTTCTACTTTAACTTGAGGAATTTTTATTTATCCTACTAAGAAAATTACAGGTGTAACAGTGTGCAATCATTAACCTTTCTGTGTTTTTTCTTTTGCATTGTTTATGTTCTTAAATAAAATGAGAAACTAATAAATACTAAAGCTGTTTGAAAATAAGCATTTTTTTTTTAAGTTGAAAAAGAGTGACATTTATTTTCGTTTCTCCTTAAAAATATCTCTTTGTTGGAGAGACAATATTATAATCATCCTAAGAAAAAGGTACTCGTTTTATTCTTCATTTCATCTTCATAGATGACTAGTATGGTATCCAACATAGTTGATACCCAATCAATATTCATTGATTTAATAAAGAGCTCTAAAAAATTCTAGTTTAAAGTAGTAACATTTCTATAAATATATGAAGGTCTATAAATACAGTTAGCTTATCTTATTTGATTCCTTTCTCCCATTTTCAAACATGAAACAAAATGTCATTTGTTTTTAAACTTCTTCAAGCACTTTCTTTTTTAATCCAAGGAGACTTTAAAAGGTTATGAAAATTTATTGGTAAAACAAAATGCTCTCTTAGAACAAATTTTCTATAAACTTTCTTATGAACAAATTTCCTATAAGCTTAATAGATGAATCAAACTTTTGGATAATTTTCACTTAATCTCAAAAGTAAATGTTATACACAGAGGAGGCTTAAAACAAATTATTGTTCAACATTGCTGATTGAGCCTAAATCTAAACTTGAACTCATTGGAAATAATCTATTGTAAGGATCTATTTGGCTCTATTTTGTATAAAAGCATAATAGGTTTCCTTCAACTGATTGCTTATATTTCATAGGCTTTTATGGTTTTCTCTGAGGTACTGGCTAATCTAGATTATAGCATTTTACCCACATGTTGGGATATACCTTCCCTAATCTGCATTCATGCTCTTTTTCTTTGTCTTAATATGTTCCTGACCCGAGTTTCTCTCTGACTCTTGAAATTAACTTGCAATTTCAATTATTCAATAAATCTGAAAATGATGGCCCACAAGGCTCTATTCATTTATACCTGTGAGGGACCAAAACAGCATTCTAATCTGATGATATGAAATGTGTGAAGTTCTGAAAGGAATAATAGGCAAGAGGTGCCAAGAGGACTATTTTCCTAAGTTTTTTTTTTTTTACTAAAAAACTTGAAAATAAAAATTGAGAAACTTGAAATTGGCTATGTGCTTACCTAAAGTCCTAGTTTTCCTGGGTACTCCCAGAGGTGTAAGAAATAAGCAGCCCACTTTTTAAGAAAATATCTGAGAATGGATGGGGTAGAGGTCATATTGGATGGTGGTTAAGAACATGAAGTTTTGAGTTTACTGGCCTGGATTCATATCCTGATAGTGCCATTTATTAACTATATGACCTTAAACAAGTATTTGACTTCTCTGTGTCTCAGATTACTCATATGTGAAGTGAAAACAAGCTTTCCAATAGTACCTACTTCATAGGGCTTAAATAGGATATGTTTTAAGCCTAGCATGTAGTAATTTCTTAATATGTTAGTCACTGTATTGTAGTTCAGTATATTTTATTCCGATATATTCTTCTACTGTGTCCTTCACCTATGGGGAATTCATGCAAGATTCCATGTTTGTTGAGAGGTCACAGTGAGTGCTTTTAAATTTCAACCACATCATACAGTCCTGTGGATGTGCTATGATACTGCTGAGTCTCTGAGCTTGGTCCTGGTCCAATAACATGACCCTCAGGTAGATATAATATTTCCTTCCATAGTCACTCTAGAGAAAGTGAAATGGAGAACTCACCAGGTCATAAATTCTGGAGGTATGACTAGTTTTATTTTTATGGAAGTAAGGGCACTATCTTGATATTCTTATCTGAAAAAGTAAAAGTAGCTGATTTCCACCAGAAAGACATTTTTGCCAAATGAAGTGAAAAGTTTATTACTCTCTGTTTCTTCCCACAGTATCCATAAATATACTGAGGCCATTTATTTTGCCAGATGGTTTTTCAGACCCTGCTGAAATGAGAGATGCCCTCATTTTGTATTTCCCTCAAATTCTACCACAAACCACACTTCTTGGGAGGAAAAAAAAGTCGCCATGTAAGCATGTTTACCTTTAACTGACTAGGAAGTTGAAACATGTCCATAAATGATGACTCACCATCATAGGCCTATAAAAGTAAAGGTACTCCTCTGTGGAAAGGCAGCAGCCTCCAGGCACAACCATTCAAGATGAACCCAGGTGTCCTGGCTGCCTTCCTCTTCTTGAGCTGGACTCATTGTTGGTCCCTGCCCCTTCTCAATGATGAGGATGATGATGATTTGTCCGAGGAAGATTTCCAGTTTGCAGAGGTAGAGTATCTTGCCAATCTCAGTGGTGTGCTATACATTATAAATACCCTTCTCTTCTAAAAGCAGGTCATTTTGATCTTTTTTCTAGCACTACCTTAAATCATATTACCATCCCCTGAATCCTGCTGGCATCCAGAAGAAGACTGCAGCAAGCTCCATGGCTGACAGGCTTCGAGAAATGCAGTCTTTTTTTGGCTTAGAGGTGACTGGCAAACTTGATGATAACACCTTAGACATCATGAAAAAACCAAGATGTGGTGTTCCTGATGTGGGTGAATACAATGTTTTCCCTCGAACTCTCAAATGGTCCAAAATGAATTTAACCTACAGGTAAATCATAGGCTATCTTTCTTTAACATTTGTTAGTCTTTTCATAGTATTAGATGTCTAATTTTCAGCATGAGCTACGAGTGACAGAACATGTATGATCTCATTTTAAAAAATAGGCCTTAAACATTTAAGGCCTTAAACATTTAAGGCCTATTAAATTAAGAAAGTCCAGGATAACTTTATGACCATTGATGAAAATGTCTTATAACATCAATTATTATGTTAACTTAGCATTATTTTTCATTGGAAATGTCAAACTATTTCTTTTAGATATGACTCAAAATAGAAAAGTAGGTTTAATAAAATTTGCAAATGTAGTAGGTCAGACATATTTGTTATAATAATGCTAAAAAGGGAGAGTTCCACTCTAGGAACTTTACAGAACTATTTCATTTATTTAGACTATAGCAATGCAACGCTAAACTTTTAGCATGCACTATACGTTTCTTTTAAACATCTGGATACTTTAAATTTAAAATGCCAAATGGTCATATATTTGGAGATACTTAAGATGTCTGATTGAATTCTTCATTTTTTTCTTTGTGTGACATAATAATCAATAAGATCTTTAAAACAATGGACCTCAAGTGGAACTTTCAGAGAAGCCATTGCATTTTGAGTTGAAAAGCAGTAGTCCAAGAAAGTACATTCTAAAATAGCTTTCACCTTCTAAAAATGTAATTGAACCTTTTTCTGTTGAATAGAATTGTAAATTATACCCCTGATCTGACTCATTCTGAAGTTGAAAAGGCATTCAAAAAGGCCTTCAAAGTTTGGTCTGATGTGACACCTCTGAATTTTACCAGACTTCACAATGGCACTGCTGATATCATGATCTCTTTTGGAACTAAAGGTAATGATGCGAAATCATTTTTGAAATATTTTTATATTCTGTTCCTAATTAGTTCCATCTTTAATCCTTTTTAAAGTCATTCACTGTGTTTTACAGAATTCAACAAAAACTCACCAACCACCTGTGCTAGGCACTACTGAGTATAATTATATTTTTAACTCTTGCTTTTATGTGTAGAGCATGGAGACTTCTACCCATTTGATGGACCATCTGGTCTGCTGGCTCATGCTTTTCCTCCTGGGCCAAATTATGGAGGGGATGCCCATTTTGATGATGATGAAACTTGGACAAGTAGTTCCAAAGGTAATATTTCTTATAAAGATATAATCGATGATTACTAGATTAGATTAGATAGTGAACCCATTGATGAGAAGTTAAGAAGTATATTATGAATTATATTAGGTATTTGGTTATATTTACCAAAAAAATGTAAAAGTTTATCTTACTAGTCTCTACAAGTGACATTTCTACAAACCAATGTGAAACATTAAAAGTGAGCAATATTTACTTAGTTTAGTTACTTGAGGGATACTGTCTTTCTGTCAACCAAGGTGTTGTTACTGTGGATACCTTTTGGCCTGTTAAGGAAGTACAGTTTATTAAAATATATATCTAAAACTTATTAGGGCTGAATATGAAGGTCATAGATGAGTTGGATGTGAATTGAGATAGTTTTTTTTTTCTTTTTTTTTTCCCAAGCAGAAATCTTAATGGAACAAGTCCAGTCAAATTTCTTTTCCCTGTTATATGAATTACCTGTTTCAGTCTTATCTATATCATGGATTTTATAAATACCACTCTAACAAATCAAGATAATGTCTTACTGCTCCAAACAGCATGAAATAGACCATATGAAATTTGTATTTACAAGAGCAAAATGAAACTAGATGTTAAATGAATTCAGTCAGCAGCTGAATTTTCAAGGCTCAAGAGAGTTGGGAATGTTAATTTCAGAAGAAAAACCAGACTGTTCCAACTAGAACTTAACTTTGGAGCTGTATTGACCCTTAGTTGTGACAACTAAGGGTAGTCTTCATAAATAGAGAATTTTTATTATTTATTTAAATTAAAAGGATTATTTTTCTGAACAGTAAAATTAGACCTTGAATGATCAATACCTCAACTCCAATGCCTCCAATCTGTTTTCGGAAGAAAGGCCTCCAATTTGTTTATGTTCTGCATATTTAACATGTAAAGATGGTTTTAGGAATAAAGAATAAAATATAGTATTTTTAAGGTAGAGTCACAATAAACCTGACTTTTAAGTTTCTGCATAAATTTTGGATTCAAAATATTTCATTGAAATGAATGAAAATATCCACAAACAAATCAGAATTAATTTTTCAGCTGAAGGCCCCAAAATGGTATCCATTACTAGTCATTTCAATGATGGATTACTTGTTGCTCAGATTATGTGAACTTTGATTGCTCTTATGGTCTGCGTAATATACTAACTTAATTATACATTTTCTTCATGCGTACGCTATGTTAGTTAGCAAAGGATATTTAAAGTCAAATTGAAACCACTGACTCCAGCTTTCATGATGTGTTCTTTTTCTTTTCCCTTTTATCTTTTTCCAATTAAAATACTAGTATTAGGAAGCTCAGAAATCGGTAAAAAGAATCACTGCAGGAAATAATGTACATACGAATCACAGTAGTCTTTTAAAGTAGAGGAAAGATGACCAATTAGAATTTCTGTTTCTTTGAACTCTAGTGTCTACGAATTTTCTGAAAAGAATCATTTGGTTAGAATTTGTTCCCAAGTAGATTCCCAGAGACCTTATTTAGTTAAGGACTCTGGGAATCTACCAGGTTATCCTCCACACTTGGTTATCATCTCTTTGGATGTTGCCTCCTGTTTAGATGATGTTCTATGCAGCATCCTATATATGAACCCTTACTTGATTTTCCATGACTTTTCCTTTAAGATCATTACTGTTCGCTTTCCCCCACCTGATCTGGGAAAATAAAGAACAAGTCAGGATTACTAGTGTCTTCTCCGCAACTTCTTATTGGTTGCTAATTATTTGAGAGCATTCTGTTGATATTCTAATTGTGTAGGCAGCTATAATCAAAGAGAGCACTAAATTATTTATAAAGATTAAATCAACTTTTGAATCTTCCTTCAAGCCACTGAATATTAATTTTAAAAAATGAGTAAAATAGCAAAGAAAGAGAAATGATGACAAAGAATAGATGAGGAAAATAACATCCCTTCCATTAATTAGTCATTGGAGAATCTTGTTTTCTCATTGTTTCTTTATTTTCTTATAGGCTACAACTTGTTTCTTGTTGCTGCCCATGAGTTTGGCCACTCCTTAGGTCTCGACCACTCCAAGGACCCAGGAGCGCTCATGTTTCCCGTCTACACCTACACTGGCAAAAGCCACTTTATGCTTCCTGATGACGATGTACAAGGGATCCAGTCTCTCTATGGTAACTCTTAATCTGTCAGTTTAAAAGCAGAATAGATTTATACATTTATTTTCTAAATTATCACTGAATTTGCCATGATCAATATTGCTCTCCTGGTTTTGTAATTAAAACCTGGGAATACATGCTCATTTTTTTCTTTCCAAATCAAACTACCTGCTGTAATAGAAATGTTCTGTTCTTCAATATTTTTGCAGAATATAAGTCCTCATATTTGTACTTTATACACGGCAAGGTATATTCAATACCCTCAAAACACCCCTGACATAAGAAAGGAAAATTCTTTAATTTCCATTTAACCAGTGAAGAAGCCAAGCTCTGTAGAGTTTAAATAGTGTATCTACAGCTGAAGGTAAAAGTGGGACCTTAAGTAGCTTTTATAAATTCTGGTTATTCTTTCATGCACTCTAGTTTGCCAGAGTGGAAACCATTCGAGTGGCCTGCAGTAGTTTTTAATCAACATTTGCAGTGACCATTGTAAGAATCTTTTCCTTTTTTTCCTTCCAAATTTTCAATAATATTTACACAGTAATTAAACTTAAACCCAAGCAAGCAAATTTATCTGCCATAAATAGAGTTAAAGCCACAGTGCACAGTCATCAATGTAAACACTTCAAGAACACCTGGCTAAGGAAACTTGCTCATGTCACCCAGATCATTATTTTCCCTCTGGATTTAAATCCACTCTTGATATTATTTTATAAAATCTGCAACTAGTGTGGGTGTGAACAAATATTTTGCAATTTTTATGATTTCTACAATATTGTGACAGAGACTTGATGATAGAACTGATATGAACTCAGTAGAGAAAGCAGTTCAGAATTGTTATTCTGCTCTGCACCCCTTTTGCACTCGTGTGCTCTGGTAGAAAAGTTATAAGCAAGCGGCAAGTCACAGTTTATCAGATACAGCTGCACTGATAAAGTGGTGAAGCAACATTAGCTGACGTTGATGGCTGGTAAGATAGGTAAGAGAAAGAGCCAAGATGAGACCTCCCATAGGGATGATGTGCCACCAGAAATGGCTTTAAGAGGAATGTGTTTCTCAAGAGCCTACTGTCGAGGTTGCACAAAACATGGGAAAAGTTTCCTCAAAGTCTCCACTCCATCTCTATCATCATCCTAAAGAAACCTAATTTGTACTTGAGATGAATATCAAGAGATCTTGAGGGATGAAAGCAGAAGGGGCAGTGCCACCTGCAAGACCTTGATAACACTGGAGCAAGGAAGCAGGATTACACGTATTTGGATCATTATGTAGGAGCAATAGGACTTACTGCCCTCCTTGGAAGAAACCCTCTCCTACTCTCCATTAGCAGGATCAAGTCATCACATGCTCAGTAACTTCTTTCATTCATTTAATGCCTACAGGTCCAGGAGATGAAGATCCCAACCCTAAACATCCCAAAACTCCAGACAAATGTGACCCCTCCTTATCCCTTGATGCCATTACCAGTCTCCGAGGAGAAACAATAATCTTTAAAGACAGGTACTCTTGATATTATTTTATAAAATCTGCTTGTAACAAATATTTGTGAGGCTGTGTCTACAAATTGCCAAACCATCCAGTCAAACTTAGAAAGGTGAAGTTAATAGTGAAAATAATAGAATTGGGGCAGTTTGTTTACATATTTCAGATGAAATAAATGACTGATGGATAAACATTTTACTTTTCAATGAATAATTTTGTCAGTGTGCAGCTTTTTAACATCTTTGGTTATAGTCTGTTTTTATTAAGATAACCAAATAAATATGTAAATCTAATTTATTTCCTTAACAAACACATAAGTATTAAAATCAATTACCATATAACTCTCAATGTCCACATGAATTCCTTTTGGTGTGAAAGATTTTGCACTAGGTACATATGTTGGAATATGAGAGAAGGAGGGTTTTACAAACTAAACCTGTAGGTAACAAGAAATGAAATATTAATTTTTTATTTCAATATGCTTATATTTGCTGATTTATTGATTCATCAATTAATTGTTTCCTCATCTGTGATCCATTACCATTCCCATCTCCTCTATTACATTGTATTCCAGGTATATTCTCATTCACTTTCCCCAGGCCATGAGATCCTGGATGACATAGTTTATGTAACTCATGTTTTCTTTCCAGAGCTCTACATAGTGGCCTGGCACATTTGCTTGCCACTTGTAAGATAGGCAAAGTTGAGCAAGACATGGTCTCAATCCACAAAAGACTTAGAGCCTCCACAAAGGCTCTGAGACTTTAAAATTTAATGCTTTAAGCGGAGGTTAGGATAGTAATACTTGGTTAACTGGCATTTAAAGGGAAATGGAAATATTTTCCCCCTCACAGGTGACAGAGAATGGTTTTATCTAACTTACCTGCATTGATGTAGAGAGGTGGCTAGCAGGATAGAAATATTGCACTTACAAAAATGACAGAAAACTATATTTTTATTTTTGTGTTAGATTCTTCTGGCGTCTGCATCCTCAGCAGGTTGATGTGGAGCTCTTTTTAACAAAATCGTTTTGGCCAGAAATTCCCAACCGCATTGATGCTGCATATGAGCATCCTTCCCATGACCTTATCTTCATCTTTAGAGGTAAGCCTTCCACTGGTAAGACCTCCCATAAGTCCAGGGAAGGCAATGATGAACATGAACTTGATGCTACCAGAGACTTGGTAAAATAATCACTCCTGAAAATGTACATAAGAACTAAGTATAACAAAATGGAAAACAGAAAGCACCTGAAACTGTCTACCAAGTATCCCCAGATTTGACAAGTAGAAAGTCTACATTATTAAGATAAATATATAAGGGTATAGAAACAAAAAGTGGGTATTTATCATGTATATGATAAATATATCATGTATATGATAAATATACATGATAAATACCCACTTTTTGTTTCATAGCAATCACTTTTTTCTCTTATTTCCTCTTAAAAATTATTTGCCAAGCAAACATTATAACAATGTACATTTTGAAAAATTAAAAAACATTATTCATAATTCCTCTATCTGAAAATTTAATTTACTATATTTCATTTTCTCACTTTCTTTTTTTAGTCCTTCACAATATGTAATATGTATTTTTAAATATTTATATTCATAGTGTATATACATTTTAATATTCTACTTGTTCCCTTGGCATAAAATTATGAAAAGTTTTCCAAATTGTCACTCCATCTTCATGATCATAATTTATAATGGTTACATAGCATTCTACTGACATTGTTTCTATTGTTTGATTATTATAATTAATGCTATATGAAAGTTATTTTTAGAGACAGAAATAACTTTTGATGGCATATAAAATTTTAGTTTTCGGACTAATTTGCTATTTCTATGGTGCTGTTTATCCATATAGAAATCTTAATGTATTTTTCACTCAGCTCCATACTTAATATTCAGAGGTAATAAATTGCCAAATTAATTATTACATTTGATTGGCTATACTCTTAACTAGGAAATTAGGATCTTAAATTCTATTTTTGCTTGAAAAATTCTCGTATTTCTATGTTTCATAAACATTTATTTCTAAATGTATGTCTTTCTTTGTTAAAGTAAATGTCTACATATGTGAGTCCTAATAGATTTCCTTAAATAATAAAACCATTCTTTCACTTATTCTAGGCAGAAAATTTTGGGCTCTTAATGGCTATGATATTCTGGAAGGTTATCCCAAAAAAATATCTGAACTAGGCTTTCCAAAAGAGGTGAAAAAGATAAGTGCGGCTGTTCACTTTGAGGATACAAGGAAGACTCTCTTCTTCTCGGGAAACCAGGTCTGGAGGTATGGCAGCCATATTTACTGAGCCATCACCTTGTGTCATACAGGCAAAGTGAGTCTCAAATGGCTCTTATTGCTATTTTAAATTATTATCTCATGCACTATTAACATGCAGCATATTAATTTCTGTTCTGTATCAGTTCCTGCAGGCAGCTCCCTCAGACAGAGATTTAATTCTCAAATCTTCTTAAAAATACACATACATACATACATATAATTCTCACCTCTTCTGAGACACTGTTTTTTCTTAGTCATTCGTTGTATCCCAACTATGCTAAAACTATTTCTTCTACATGGAGTGGGAGATCAGTAGAGAATTATTCAATACATAAACATATATTTATTTTACTCTAAGAACACTCTCCTAATAACATACTTTTATAATAAATATGCATTTTGTGAAATGAAAATGAGCTTGTAACTGTCTTTGCAAATATGGCCTTTAGGCAAGTCAAAAAATACCAAGCATCCACTATACACTCAGTATCATAATTCCTTATTTTAAAAAGTTACCAGATGTTTTAAATGGACTTAAAATTTTAAAACATCAATTTTGAAACATGCCATTATATTTATCGTATCATGTCTAAGGTAATCTCTAAAAAACTTAAGAGATTTTTCTTATTAAACAGCTATGATGATACTAACCATATGATGGATAAAGACTACCCCAGACTAATAGAAGAGGACTTTCCAGGTGTTGGTGATAATGTAGATGCCGTCTACGAGAAAAATGGTAACTAGTTTCATTGCACTTAATGGAGGGCTTCTGTAGCCCCTCAAAATCATCTCCCTTATAAAAGACTTTCGTACAGGACTTCGATGTGCTAATAAATGCATGGCAGTTAAGTCATTCCTGTGTGACTACTTGCATGGATGGCAAACAAAAAACAATATGCTTAGAATAAATGAGAATTTTACTTAATGATTACTAATTCTTCAAATAAAAGATGCAAACCTTAAACACTATCTTAAATTATGCTTAAAGATACCAGGATGCAAAGAGTATTGCCACAATTCAAGTCAGAGATAGAATGGGGAGTAGTTTATATATGAAGACAATGGCCATCATAACTATATAATGATTTTTACTTTAATTATGAAGAGATATTATCCCTAACTTATAATAATGAATATCAATACTTCAAGTAGCAAAACAGGAACTCCTGACAAAGACAACTAATTTGAGGTGATAATTTAGGAAAACTGGGAAACTTTAGACCTTTTTTCCCTCCTTAAGCTACAAGCAATATATTAAAACATTAGTAGGGTTTATAAAGATAAGTAAGATAAATGTTGACATGTTAAAAAAAAAGTGTGGGATCTAGCAGAATAGATTTATACTGTTAGCTGGAGAAACTCTTATTGTTTGAAACTCAAATTTTTCTTTTTTGATCTTTTTCTTGCAGGTTATATCTATTTTTTCAATGGGCCCATACAGTTTGAATACAGCATCTGGAGTAACCGTATTGTTCGTGTCATGCCAGCAAATTCCCTTTTGTGGTGCTAAGTGTCTTTTAAATATTGTTATTTAAGTCTTGGAGGACATTTGGGATAATACCTCTTAGGGTATGGGAGAGGGAGAGGTATCAGGGGAAAGCTTAGTTCTGTGAACAAGCTTCAGTAAGTTATCTTTGAATATGTAATATCTATATAACTATGCGTGGCTGGAACCACATTGAATTTTAAAGTAATGAAACTCAGTATCTCTAAGGATCACCTAATTCTTGTATGCTATACAGAAGCAATAATTGGCAATATTTCCCACATCAAAAATGAAATATATAGTCTGTCAAAGAGAATTAGCATAATTTCTAATATATTTATAAGAAAATTTTGTAAAGGCATAAAAATAAATTGCATTTATATAATTAATAAGTTATCTTGGTCAGAAATTTCAAAATAGCATAAAAATGGAATTTTGGGGGAGCATATGGTAACCATAGATGAATGAAGGTAAACCAAAAGGAAATGTCTATAATAACTATATTGCAAACAACTTCACAAAAAAATAATTTGGGTTTTGCACTGAAAATATTTGCATGTACATGTACCTTTTCATATAGACACTAAGGGACATATCGATGTCATTAAAGATAGGAAACAGAGACTAATGGTGAAGATGTTAGACATGGCCTTTGGATTCTATTTAATTTTCATTTTGACAATGTCTCAAGGGCTATACTCTTAAAGAACACAAATATTTCTTTGCATATTTATAAAAGATAGAGACAATCTCTGTATTCAAATATTTCAAGTCTTTCAAAAATATCAAAGTAAAATATTAAAATTATTTTCAAAATGATCCAAGACCACAGCATAAAGTTTTCATCAATTATCTGATTAAGACTCAAAGTAGTGTTTTTATCCTATTTTATCAAGATAATTGTTTTAATTATCCAGTTTACCTTGGATATATAGTCTATTTTTTACTGACATAGACTAAAATATATCTTATAAATTGGAAGGGTCTATGTGAAAACAGAGACATCTAAAATAAAGAAAACAGTATAAATAGATTGTGGTCCTCTTGAGAGCATGGAACAGTGTCTTTTTCTTTCTCATTCTTTTTCAAAATCTCTTAGTACTTTTTACAGTGCCTGGCACTTGGCACTTTTGAATATGTGAATGACCATCGAGGGAAAAACCATTGTGCTGAGAATCTTGTTTATAAAAACAGGCAAAGAAAAGAAAGTGTGTTATATTTGCATAATGTATTAGGAAGTGTGTTTATATTGTTTATAATAAAAAAGATATTTTCAACAGACAGTGTTATATGGTATGTTTTGTCTTTTAATGTATTTTAAGCTTCCTTAAACAAAGAGTCTATTTAAATTATTCCTTTTTCTTGCCAATGTTTCTTGGTGAATGTAGTTCACTAAATATTTCAGTTTTGTTTTGTTTCGTTTGTTTTTTGGTATGAAAACTAATCTCAATTTAGAATTGGTTATAGCAGGCTGTGTTAGCTAAAATTTTGATAGAGTTTGGTCAGCCTAGTGCTTAGACACCCCTTCTTTCTCGGCTGGCTTCCCTAGAACTAGACCATGGGTTCCTCAGAATCTTCCCTACTGAGAGCATTATTGAGTAATGAAGTAGAAAGAACAATAGACCTGGAGTTAGGAAGATTGAGTTTTAATGCTTACTCTGCCATGCACTTTGCCTGTGACTTGGGGCAGGTCATTTAATTTCTTTAACCTTTTTACCTTCTTAATGTTTAAAATAAGAGGGTTAGCAGCTTTGGTGAGGTTGGGGAAATATGGGGAGGCAGGGAACTCTAATGAGGAAGGCTAACATTATCTATCTAAGAACATCAGGTCCACTGAGCTTTAGATACTAGATCCCCTCTGTTTTCCTAGGCACTACCCATCCTCAAATGTTTAATAAGTGTCTGTTAGATGTGGACATCTAAGATGTTGAGATGAACCAGAAAAACTTGATCTCTACCCCTGAAGAGCTTATATTCCACTGTAGAGACAAAGCAAGTAAAAATCAGCAAATTAAATGCTTTTTCAAGGGAGGAATGAGGACTTGCCATGGGTGCAGAGGACTGTTGATTTCTTTCTCCTCATGCACCCCGCCAAAATCAATCCATGCACTTTTCATCTTTTTTAACAATTTAGTTAGAATTCTGATTTCTAAGGTTTTCTATGGGAGTAGAGCACAGTGCATCCATCATCCATCCTTCCATCCATTTATCTAATAAATATTAATTGAAAACCTATCCTGTGTCAGGAACTTAAGTAGATACTGGGGATACAGTGAAGAGCAAAACCTCATTATTTTCTTGGAGCTCACATTCCAGCTAGAGAGACAGATATTAATCAAATAAGTACAAATTACAACTGTGATAAAGAAAAGAAACATAGTTCTCTGAGAGACTTTATAAGAGAATTTATCTACTGTGTCTATTGGGGGAGAGACACAGGAGGGTGGTTCAAGAAAGGCTTCGCAACAAAAGAGATACCCAAGCTAATATCAAAAGTTAGGAGAACTGAAGCAGTGAATGAATCGGGGAA